CAATTGATTGATTTGTATCCATCACAATGAGACAATTGAGTGGTGAGTATCAGCGTGAGTGAGTGTGAGTATGAGTGAGTATGAGTGAGTATGAATGAGCATGAACGAGCATGAGCACCCGGGTATGAAGATGAGGGTGAGTACAGTAATTGAAATCCATCTTTTATCTCGTCCCCCCCTTCTATTAAGTTCTCACCGACCAAAGCACAGCAGTTATTTTTATTTTTGTTTTTATGTTGCCTTCCAATACATCTCGCTGACGGATGATTGGAACATTATATCATCATATCGCGATATGATTGGTCAATTGATGAAGTACAGTATCCTTCTGGTAGCTTCTACCTGGACAAGAGAAAAAGGCAAGCAGCAGAAAGGTATAGCAGAAAGGTATCTATCTGGCTGTCTAGCTCTCTAGCTCTCTAGCACCGACGCATCTCATACTATTGAAAAGAGGACGCATGTACCTACTTCTTCCCACGCCACGCTTCCCGGGACTGCCCGCCTCCTTCACTAGCACACGCAGACACAGCTCCCTTCACTCCAAACAAAAACAAAGAACCCCGGGTAGGTTGCAAAAAAGAAAAGAAAGAAAAAAGAATCAGGCAATACAAACAAAGATCAAGACCCATTGGCACCAATCAGCATGGTTGAAATCAGTCTAAGAAACATTCAAGTCTAACCGCTGCCTGACCTGACCAAGAAGCAAATTCAGTCTAAAACAGCATTCACACCTACCTAGGTACCTCCTTTTTTTGGTCATTATTTTATTATTATATTATCTCTTGTCTCTGTCCCCGCCGTTACCAGATTTTATTTATTCTTATTGGAATTGGAATTGGAATTCTATTTGTGTTTCCATTTCCACTATTATTATTATTATAATTATTATTGTTATTATCATCATCACCATTATTATTATTATTATTTTTATCAAGAATACTAAAACTTGATAATCATCACGCCAAAGAACTAGGATAACACCCTACATACCTTTTAACAAAGTACCATCTTCCAATTGCGCGTATTAGTGCATGACCAGTTGAATTGATCACCTCGTGGCAGCCTACGAACCGTCCGCTGCGTATTTGGGAATGACTGGTTAGAGTCATCCGCCTCCATCCATATTCATACACACTCCATACACACTACACACACTCTCTATACATCTTCTCACACCTCCCTCCTTTTCTCATTCAAAAAGAAGGGTACCATACCATAACACACCACACCAGGCCATACTTATTATACTTATTGTTCATCTCCCTCTCTCTCCCTCTCTCGCACATGCAATTCGTTTTCTCCTGTTGCTTGCTTCTTGTTATTCAACTCCTCCTCATCAAGCACTACACACACATCTCAACTCAACTCATTGCCATCTACTTTGTATTTGATTCGCAATTGATTGCATTCCTCTCTACATTCACCCACAACAATAACGCAGTACCCCGCCATACCTCAATTGAAATCCCATTTTCAATAAGCAAGACGTGGATCACACTTTGCATTGAATTGGGATCAATCACAAAGAACTTTCCAGCCTAATCCTCAGCTGACCAACACTACGCAACACTTACATATACACAGCCTTCTTGACGACATCTACGATATATCTGTCTCAATCCCCGAACTTTCTTTTTACTTCAGAAATCTTTTGTACGGATTTAAGAAACGGGAAATCCGATTTCCATTTGCTTGCTAGACCTAGAGTGGCGCGGGGCAACGAACAAACGATTATGGATGACAAAACATTCACCTCGATCCGGCAACCTTCTACTACCTTCGATTTCAGACACTCACCAATGACTACAAAACCATTCATCAATTCAACAACCTCTACTTCTACACACTCAACTCAATCCATCAAACCAATTCGTGCCGCATCTTCTCGCCCCATGAATATGGAACGCAAGAATAAGCTTGAGATCGCCAGTACGCTTATGTCACCTCCAGAGCCACTCCCTCTCGAAAACTTTACACATTCGTGCCTGCCATTCACAATGGATTCAAAGATGCGAAAATTACATTCAATCGTCGGTGCGACGTTTCCCATATCGCCACCTGTGTCTCCAGAGACCAAGGCGAGGTCACCAGAAGAGCCCGCTGGTTCACAAGCAATTACCGATCCAATTCTATATCCACTTTCCGACAATCAAAGCACATCTGCCACTCAATCATCCCTCTTCGCAGACAATGATGATCCTCTCGTTACACACCGTGTAGTCGATGGGCACGTTGCGGCCAGGAAAGCTAGCATGTTCCGAGAAGCCTCCCCTCCACGCCGCGATGAGTACGAGCTCGCTCTCGAATTTAAATCACAAGTTGTTAAGATTATGTCAAAGGATCCGGCTCTTTGGTTACGAAGGGAGATGGTTTATCTAAGGAGAGATCGAGAGTTGCAATCTGGTGCAAGGCGATGGACGAATATTGCTCCTGCCGTGGGAAGAAGCACAAGAGTTTTAGGCAACGCTGCTACCAGAGTCACAAAGACAGTACGTCCTCCTCGACCTACTCAGACACCTCGAGGTGTACGTACAGTATCCTCGACAACCCCTGGTCCCGATGTCAAGCGAGTTGCTCGGGAAGATAAGGATTTTGAGAACCTTCCAGATTACTGTCCACCAATTACCAGTCTTCCTAACAAACCCAATTCATTGAAAGTGGATTGGAAGGGTGCCCCAATTGATCTCCGCAGCGATCCAAATGTCCATCTTCTCCATCCGGATGAGGTCTCTCTTGCAGCCAATCTTCGTCTTGATTGTGCAACTTATCTCACATCTAAACGCCGAATCTTTATGAAAAGAATTGAAGCATTGAGAGTCGGGAAGGAGTTCAGAAAGACAGATGCTCAACAGGCATGTAAGATTGATGTCAACAAGGCTAGCAAACTTTGGCAAGCATTTGACAAGGTTGGCTGGCTCAATCCATCATGGGTCAAGAAGTATGCCTAGAGCGATGACTCTTGTCGGCTGATCAAATTTCGCCACTCAACACTATCACCTACCACTATGATTCTACTGGTATTCATATCAGTATACGAGCCACGATTACGACCATTGCCTGCCTTTTTTTCCCCCCCATGAATTGTTTATCGTTTTTAACTGCATTGCGACGGTTATTCGCTTACACTGAGACTCAACTTTTCTTGACATCACAGTTTTTACAAGCATATGGTACTTGGTCCATTTGTTTTCTTTCTATTTTCCGCCTGGTGCCTATCATACATACATATCAAGATCATATTATCTTGCATCGGGCTGCTTTGATACCCAAGAGAGCCTGCCCAGCTCCTCTCACGACAGCTTTTTCTTGTTTCATCTCTTTTGTTATTTATGGCAGGGGAATATTATATTCCAGCGTGTCTCGCTTCTTGCCTCTTATTCTTTGACTTTAAAGTCTGGATACATACATCTTCAACACCGTGGATGAATTTCTCCTTTTTTCATTTTTTAGATAGGATGGATTAGTTTGTTTTATGGAATATGATTGACCTCCTGGATGGAGGGAATATCATCGGGCGTTTTTATTGACACATGAGTGGTATCAACTCTACTCATGGACCATGGATGGTCTGGTTGTGGGGGGTATGGCATGGCATGGACGGGGCTTGTTTGGGGATTGGTTGGTTGCATTGGGTATGGGGTAGGCGGATTTTTCCACGTGCGTACAGATTGGATTAGAAGATTTGTGAGCGAGAGGAACACAACAATGAATGCACAGTGTGGTCTGGCATGGCATGTCATTAGATTGCATAGTTATGGCCTTTGAAAACTCGAGAATTATCTTGTATGAGATGGGATGGATCAATGAAATTTGAAGATGGATGGGTTGATACATACAGATATAGAGTGTCATAGTGCGTAATTAGTGCGTTGTGCGTTGGAAAGTTAGATAGTCTCTCTTCCATGAGAATTCTGGAATCGATATATTTTAAAGTATTTTTGACTTTGACAATTGTGCTTTTTGTTGTGTATTGTATGCTTTTATTACTTTGTGATCTTTGATGATTGAATGCGTGGATGGATGGAGGAGAGGGGATAGTGTGTTGATGATGTGTTGATGAATTATTGTATGTATACTTGGTCAATAGTGAATCAATTGTAATTGCACATACTCGAGTAGTATGAGTTATGTATGTATGTATGTATGTATGTATGTATGTATGTATGTATGTATGTATAGATATATGCTATAAAGCTTGAACAGATAGATAGATTGTTATCGCATCTATCCCATCTCAGCCAATCTCAGCCAATCTCAGCCAATCTAGCTACCCCATCTCATCTATACAATACAATACAGAGCACACAACACAATACATACATAATACATAGCACGGAGCTAGCTACCCAGTTACCTAGCCACCCAGTCAGCCAATAACCGATAACTAATACCTCACCCCCCCTTGCTTGCTTTGCTTGCTTTGCTTGTAAGCGAGATGTATATGATACTGCTACTGATACCGCGGTGAGGATATACTGAGGATACACCGAGGATGTACTAGAGCCTGGATCTTGAGGGGCTTTTCACGTTGTGTTGTGTAGACTGTATGGATGGGTGGGTTGTATAGATTGTATAGATTGTATTGTTTGTGTGTGTATCTCCGTCGGTCTGTCTGTCGGTCCTGCTAGTTGGTTATGCATGTGTTCTCTTGTGTGGCTCGCGGGATTATATGTATGTTGTAGGTACCTAGGTACCTACCAGTAGGTAGGCAGTTGCTAAAAGTCAGATGAGATGCTTGTTTGGCAGGAAGGGAGGGAGTGAGTGAGTGATGCTCTCATTGTTATGGTATATAGAGCTAGCTTATCACATTTTCTGGGTTCGAATTGTATAGTAGGTAGTAGGTATTCAAAAAAATCTTTATTCTTAGGTAATTGCAAATCTATGCTTTCCTGACCTATCATCATTATATCGTATCCTATCTCATCCTATTCTATCATATCCTGTTTCCTCTCGCAAGAACAACCATTCATTAAATATTAACCCAGATTAACCATCCACAATCAAGCCATTCCCTGTCCAGAATTAAGCAGACCCTCTCTCTTCGCTTCATTAATAGCCTTTAACTTTGCTGTTCCTACACCCGCAACACCAGCCTGTTGATCCTTGCCTAACCACGGTTTGACCGCATCTCCCAACATGCTTCCCGAAAGGAAATAGACGAACAATCCGAGGATAATCAACACAAATGCAATTGGATACAAATAGTAGATGGTGTATCCGAAAACGTTGATACCGATAACCACACCCCAGAAATTGGCCGTGAGGAGAGAGATATCAAAGAATGCCGCAGATGCCATTCGTAGGATAATAGGAGCGAGGGTGTAGAAAAGTGTAAGGGCGAGAGTATATCCAACAATATAACCTCCGACTTGGCCGTCCCAGACGGCGGTTTGGAAAGAGTGACGATCAAATATGGCAGCCGTGATACCGTTGATGATGATACCGAAGAGACCAAGCATGCCTAGGACTTCGTACATAGGACGTTTGGAAACGAACCATTCTTCAAAAACGTTTGAGAGACCATAGAGGGTTGCGCCTGCTAATGCAAAAAGATCACCCTTCAACATGGTAGGTGGATTGCCTCCATTTGAACCAGTGATATGATCAGATGCAAGGAGAATACCCATACCACCACAGCAAACGAGAATGGAAATAACTTGGAGCCACTTGTATCGAACACCGAGGAAAATGAACGAGACGATTACAACGCAAACGATGGACCAGAAGTTAATGAGTTGAGCGCTGAGGACATTAGCTGTAGGATGTTAGTAATTTTACAATATACATTTTTGAGAACTTGGGAATACGTACTCCATCGATAAGCCAAAACAGTGAAATAATTTCCCTCGACATCCATGAAAGACAAGATGACATACTTCCAGCCATCTACCCAGAGAAGCTTGAGAAAATCTCTCCATCCATACTTGTAGATGGTGTAAGTCGTGTAGATAGCGCACAACACGATGTAGTTAAAGAGAGTCTGAAAGGCTGGGATCGAGGTTCCCTTATTCGCAAGGAGTGTAGTGAATGTATTGGTGGCCGTGATACAAAGGGAGAGAATTTGTCTGTAAAACGAATAGGTTAGAATTGAAATAATGTGCTAAAATCAATTGGCATAAGGTAAGACGCGAGAAGTCCTTTTCAGGGCAATGGTGTTAGTTGTCTCATGGCTTGGTCTCCCAAGCTCTGAAGTAGCAAATACTTTATAAGTTGCAAAACATCATATGGACTCGTCGCCATCTCATGCCAAAATAGCGAAGGGGAAAAAACTTACCCAAGGAGTAAGATAATCCAAAAGTCTCTTGTGAGCAAATAAGCCCACCACTTTTTATTTTTGGTCTCCAAGTTTTCAATGGCATGTTCCAAAATCTCTCCGTTGACTTGATTTCCCGCGGCTCTATCGCTGGCCATACCAAAGCTTCCACTGCCCTGAGCGCCATCGCTGGATTTTGTATGTCTGTCCCCTTCCAAAGCATTGACATTGGTCTCTACTCCGGCAACTTTAACATTGTCTCCCATTTTAGAACTCATGTTGTCTTTCCCGAATCTTTCTCTATCGAATTCTAATCGATCCTGGCCCTCGTCTTGATATTCAGAATTGACGTCTGAGTCCGAGTCTGAATGAAAGGTGTCTTCTAAGAGTCCGGTTCTCGATTGTAGATCCACGATTGGTGCTGAAAAGGGTTTCCAGTACTTAGTCTGACGAAAGGTGGTAGTTTGGGTAGTAATGACGTTGATCGAATGAGGGGTTGGTACTAGTTATGGTCGGCTTATCGCAAAGTCGATTTTCCCAATGTGCAAATTAATTAATAAGTCTTTCTACTCCTCCACCGTTGTAAACTGTGAGCGCAAAGACTTCAAGTCGCTCACTATGATAATTATCTTATCTGGTTCATTGACCGATATCGTATACGGACGAGATGCAGTGAAGAGCAAAAGAAAAAGAAGAGAATCAGTGATGGGAATTCAGATTACTTTAACTTTTTTGATAAGCCTCCATTTATCAGACAGTGGGGCATGAGGTGCATAGTGGATCCAGTTGACAAGCAGAGTTCGTTAAAGGAAAGTCTATGATTGGATCAATGTATGCCAGAACCAGGATCTCGTCCGAAGCTAAGGGCGGGATAAGGTGAGCCTAGACTGGGGTCGGACAACCCCGATGAAGAAAAATGAAGAGTTTTTTGGTAGTAAAATTGGATTAGTGGATTGGATAAGTTTGTGAATACATTGAGAAGTGGCAGGACGACGTGGACGGTGAAGAATATCTGACACATGGGAATTGAGAAGTACGTGGGATATTTAGTCTCCAAAAATATAATATGTACGCCACTTTTTACAGCTCCACTAACGCCATCAAGCCATGCTTCGTCTCATTCGTGATATACACTTGGGCTTTGGGGATATGTGCATGTGCAGTATCTCACTCATCCCAAGAACTCCTTCAATGGTCCGCCGACATGTTCAACATCCAATAGGAATGTATCATGTCCAAATTGGCTCACGTCTTCTCCAAGCTCAACATGACTTACTTTGGTATTCCCTGCCTTCCTCAGCGTATCAGCAATTTCTCTTTGCTGCCATGCAGGGAACAAGATATCGCTAGAAATACCCATAACTAGAGTAGGATGATCTTTCATGGCTTTCATCCCAGATACCAAGTCCGCAGGGGGGCCTGAAGATGGCTCAATGGGTGTGTTGATATCTGTTGTCCCATTTGCTTCTGGTTGTTCCTGGTATGGGCTATCTGGAAGAGTCAGGCTGCATGCTGCATCTCCGAGAGAAGATTCAGATTCAGCCCCAGTTCCCTTACGTGCTAAATGATCTGCTCTTCGTGACGAAGCCGCCAGTTGATTTGTCGCTCCGAGGTCAAAGAGATCCATAGCTTTGCTAACATATAAAAGACTATTTGGATCGTACTCCAAACAAAATTTCTCCCCTGCATGATCTAGATAAGTCTCAATAAGGAAGTCTGGACACAAGGCAGGTTGCTTGCTTGGATCGGCTCTTCGTCGACCAAATCTTAACTCCCATTCAGGCCCCGAACGGTATGTTACAGTTGCGATTTCACGCGCAAGTTTCATGCCTGCGTGAGGGGGAATATGATCGTAGTAAAATCCTCGATTCCAATTCTTGTCCATCATCAACACTTGCCGTTGAGTATGGCGCATTGCAATGCTGTAAGGGTGGCTTCGTGCACATCCAGATATACTGGCCACTCGACCAACTCGTTCAGGAAACAGGACCCCAGCAGCCAATGATTGCATACCACCCATACTCGAGCCAACACTCGCATACAGTTTGGTGACTCCTAATCCATCGAGTAATCGAAACTGTGCCCGCACCATGTCCTCCATGGTAAGGATTGGGAATCTCGTCGCATATCGTTTTCCGTCTGCTGGGTCGATTGTCGAGGGTCCTGTCGAACCATAACATCCCCCGATAACATTCGTGCATATGACATGATATTTGTTCGTATCAAGGCTTTTATCCGGACCTATAAACTTTTCCCACCACCCTGGCTTAGGATTCGCTTCTGTTGAATGTGCATGTGAAGATGCAGACAATCCAGTGTGCAGTAAAATGACATTCGACTTGTCTGCGTTCATTTCACCCCATGATTCATAAGCAATGTCGAACTCTCGCAAGACTCCCCCCCAATCAAGCAACAAAGGATCGTCGCAGTGAAATTTAAGTGTTACTCCGCTAGTATAGGATGGTTCTGGGCCACTCGAAAGGGATCGAGCTTCTAAGGTTGCAGACTTGGTTTCGAGAGCATCTAGACAAGGGAATGCCATTGCCGGATTAGAAGCCTCTGCCAATGATGCCGGAGTAGCATTTCGTGAGCCGGATCCATGGTAGGATCTTATGATATTTTGTGAGGATGTTTGGAGAGGGTTGATAGCTTGAAAAGCCAATTGTCTTGTCCAAGGTCTTGGAACAGCTTTTGTACTCCTCACACCTGTTCTCGCAGCTGCGATAAGACTCCTGGCGGTGTTCATCTTTGATGGTTTGTATATTAAAAAGAAATCATTATCCTACTGAAGTTGGAGAAATCAACTTACATTTTAGAATTAATATGCAATTTTGTTTTGTCAGCGATTTCGGTCGAAACAAAAGCAGCCACTACTGGCTTACAATGCAGCTTCTAGATAGGACCATTAATTCTTTCAGCCAATTGCGTGCTAGAACGTGACATTTAGCTGGGTACATGGAAGGCTGAAGCCTTGCTTCTTTTCCCCATTCAAACTATCTTGTGGCCTCGCGCTAATGCTTGGACCCCGGAAGTGGGTACGTCATGGAGGCAACATCAACGGAACAGCCTTGGACGTGCATTTGTGACATAGCTGAACCGGCACAATGACAACCTGCTACCTTCAATACCCGATTTACCTACAAAAACATGCTTCAATTTGGAAAAGCTTTCTACAATACCATTTCCAACATAATGTCAGGAACAGACCAAAACGAAGAACCAGTGCTACCCCTCAACATGCAATTCTATGACTCCGAAAGATATCAGCCATCTTTAGAAGATGTGCTCACTGTTAAAAACATACTCTTCACCCTACGCCCAGAATCCCCGCTACCTCTAGAGCTTATCGATGCCATAATAGACTTATCCGAATATTGGCCTCATACAACAACCGAAGGGTTTCCTGGCCAGGAAGAAGGTGATCAGAACGTCAACATTAGCACACGAGAAGTCACCATCAGAGCCGGTGGGCCATCAGAGGATAAGTTCCTTTTACGGACCCTTCCCATCGGTTATCTCCCATCTCAAGGAAACAACAATGATTCATTTCCTCAAATCTATTCAGAAGACCAACGGAAATTTTCTAAACAGACACCCAAGCCTTTGCCAAAAGATCGAGAAATCCCACAAGATGCCACAGAGGAAGTCCTCAATAAGTGGATGGAGAGATCACAAATTCGTGGGGAATTCTCCTGCAAGAAAATCGTATTTCATATTAGGAGTCACGATCAAGGGTGGGGAGGTGTACGAACAGATAAAGGAACATACAGAGGATCATACACGTGGTTTGACGTTGGCCTGGAAAGAACATATGCCACGAGGAAAGGTATTTAAACATATTTTCTCCAGGCTCACTCCAACAATATACCCAATCTTCATGATCTAACAACTATCAAAGCAGCAGAACACATCTCGGAAAGCCCCTCTTTCCGTTTCTCCAACTCTAACTCCGACACACAAGAATCGACGAATGAGATTAAATGCAGTACACAAACAATCTCCCCCGATGTTCAAGATAACCCAAGCTATGATCGTGAAAACGACGCAAATCCGGCCACAAAATATCCACATATGTTTATACATTCACTAAACCCCGATAACAAGATCCTACAGAAAAACAAAACCGCAACAAGAGTTTTTGAAGACCATAAGATAATATGGAGATTCAACGATGATATACATCCAGAAAGTCCCGAAGCGGACGAACTAGAAGCACAAGGCAGAGGACGAGAAACTGCTAATGGCGAATTTATTCGTAACTTGAAAGTTGGTGATGTGGTAACGCTTTGGGCGAAAGCAAGGTTTCCAGGTTGGGCTAATACTGTGGAGGATGTCAAAATGGATGTTTATTATGCGGTTTAAATGTGTGTTCTATCTACGTGTTATCCGGTGTTATTCAGGAGTCATTATGGAGAGATTTAGAATCGTTTGGAGGAGCTCACACTTGCTGTTTCCGGGGTGTTGTTGAAGAGAAAACTGGGAAAGGTGGTGTGTCGTTACCGGAGATTGGTGTAAATGTTGGCATGAGGTAGGACGTTCGTCGAGGATTATATTGTTCGTGCTGCTTGCCCATGATGAGATGATAGGATAGGTTCAAATTGATATACGAGTGGGGAGGAGTGATGAATTAGCTTAATGATACCATGGTACCAACCACACACTGAAAAATTACATTGTTTTGAAGAATTGTTTCCATCTTCAGTATCCGACCCTATGTTGTGATGACACTTGTTTCGATCTGTCTTGGGAAACACACCAGCGCCCGTTCAATACTAATTGTTAAAGTCAACCTATTCTGGAACGATTCATATCTATCTTAAACACCTGTAAAGATATACACATAACAATTTACGACGAAATTTCATTTATGCATGCCTTATACACTTTTAATTTTATCATACAAGTAATCCCCCGCATCCATTTTAACTACATCACTGAATCTTCTTTCCACTAGTCGCCAACTTCACTGGTACAGGCTTACTCCATAACCAAAGAGCAACGAATGCAACCCATCCTGTAACTGTGGCGCCGATTCCGGCAATCCATGGCCAAGCATTGCTGATTGCCCAACTTCTGGTGTATTCGTCGTGGGCAAAGTGTCTTACTGTGACGGTGTTCTTTTCCTCGATAGTGGTGAAGAATGGGCGCTTGTAGTTGACCTTGAAGTTAAAGATACCGTGTTGATCTGGAAGCTTGAAGCTTGTGGTATATGTTTGAGACTCGGGAGTGCTAGTTGATGGCTTAAGCACAAGACGATGGAATGGTGAAAGCATAGAGAATTCGAGTTGGAGGGAGTCTCCAGTTGGTGGGGTAAATGGAACCCATTTGTCCCATGAATACTCAGAAAGCTCGATTTCGTATGTCTGTTAAATTGTAAGCTATGTTTCAATAATGCCAATTGCGTTACTTACCACATCGTTCTTAATTCTGTAGATCTTTGGGTTGGTGTCATTGCTCTTGACACCATTTTCATGAAGGTAATGCTTGATGCTTCCAACCTTAAGGACTCCAATTTCTTTGAAGGTCCAGCCGGTAACCTCTTTCGAGAATTCTTGGTTGGCAGTTTTGGTCTCCTTGGCGTCAGATCCAACACCTCCCATTCCAATGCTACGCTTGACCTTAGCATCGAACCATGTGTCCTCAAGAATCTCTGATGACCCAATAACTGTGAATCTAGCAGAGTTTCTAGCTTGCATGGTGGTAATGAGTGATAATTGTTGTCCAACGGCAAATGGGTCTTCTACACCCTCGATATCCTCCTTGGGGTTGTAAGAGTATGCGGTTCTTGGAGCTCGGAGTAGTGGAGTCAATAATGGACTGGTGTTTCCCAATGTCTGTCCAACAGCTCTTGGGAAAGCAATGACTTCCCCGCCTTTGCCATCTCCACGGAAGTAGTTCTTAACATCTGGTCTGACAGCGTCTGGTCGTGGCAGAAGAACAACGTCATGCTTCTCTGCAGCACTCAATGTATCATAGTTGAAGTGATCAACAACAAGAGAATTGCGGTCCGTTGGAAGGTGGATGTCGAGCTCCAAGAGTAATGAGACAAGGGCAGTGGGGGTAGGGTGAGATGATGAGAGTGTTAATAGGATATTTCCGCCCTTGTTAATAAAGTCAAGAAGGAGCTTTGGTGTCAAAGCTGGTCCCAAACCTGCTACGTGTTAATTGGGCTCATTCCAGTGAAATAGGACTCGTACCTTTTGACTTGGATGGCAAGATGAGTAGATGGTCGAAGGAGCGCTCTCCTAATTCAAAAAGTCCCAATTTCTCGTTTTTCGGTGAATCGTATGTTAATTTATATCCTCGTGCTATTTGCGCAGATAATTTAGTAAAATGAACCTCACAATTGTAAATTTGCTACCACAAATAGCTACGACATACCTTCAAGATCTCCAAAGTATTTCGAGTATTTCGACTTCTCAGACAATTCCTCCAATACAACTAATAATTTGTTTCCGCCAGCACTCAAAGCTGAGACGGCACTGAGCAAGCCCAGCAACAGAAAAGAAAGAATCCACCTCATATTTTTGTTGTGGTTGACTTCAATATTCTTTCTTTCCAAATTATGAATTGCGCGGCTTGGAAGCTTTAGGAAACGTATGCAATGCCAAGAGTTTCCCACGGCGACAGGGATTCTGATTAGTGTCTGATTGCTACACGTGATGCTGGTAAGAACTCGCGACATCAACGTCGAACTTCCAGCCTCGAGCGATTTTAAACCCCGCGAAAGAAATCAGCAATAAGAAATTCTGTAAGTTGTTTGATATTCGATCATATAAGAAGAAGGAGCAATTTTATTCCTAGGAACATGCTAATAACCATAGACAAAATGTCGTCCACAATACCACGATTCTTCTCTCAGCCTTTTCGCTACATGCGATGGGCAGCCATTGAAAAGCCCGCTATCTTCTTCTCCATAGCTATCGGGAGCATTGGACCAATTCTCGTTCTCACAGTACCAAAGATCCGTCACAGACTCGGGGATGGACCAAGACCGCAGATTCCTTTGACATATCCAAGTAGGTTGATGCACAAATTGGGGTTTAAAAGCCAATAATGTTTGCAACTACTAATGTATGTGTTTCGCGCAGTGCCTTCTGGACCAAGAAAACCTTTGAGTGGTTACGATGACGAGTAAAGTTTTATGGGGGTCAGGGAGGTTGTCGGACGAAACAATCGTGTTTGTACATAGGAATGGCGTCAATGAATCGAGGGAATACCTTTACAAATGATATCATAGCGATACATTGCCAAAACGATCCGATGATCAAGTTCGACTTGATGCGACTGTTCAGCGAGAAACTTGAGGTAGGGTCTCATATTTGTATTCCTAGTGGAAGACGAAAAATTGATCTTTTACCCCTGCCTCAAAAAATGATCGCATTTCTCTTTTGGCTATGGACAACTCGAAGCTTTTTATCAAGAGCCCAGTGACAGAATCTTATGTATAATGAATACCATCCACTGGCTATCGACGTGAAGAATATCACAACTGTTCGCAAGTGCTGTCCTCGAAATCATTACTCTGTACTGCCGTTCTTGATATTTACAATGTTTATTATTTTGTTAGTTACTCAGCGCCCGTCTAGACAACATAAATGCTCTGGCTGTCTGTTAAAGTAAAAGTAAAATAAATGCGTCGAATTTTTAGAAGAAGAATCCGCTATCTACATCCGCAAGGCAAGTGGAGCACGTCAATATCCCCTACATAGTCAATCAAATAGGGCCAAAATTGGCACAGCTGGCAAAGGTTCATGATCGTTTTAAATCTTCACAATTGTTCATACATGCAGACAGATAGTGTTAGCCAGTCCTTCTCCATCTTTTGTGCTTGCAACTAGATGAATAGAAATTGATCGTCGTGAGTCCTCTTTTCCTCCCCAAAGAACCAATCAGCCAGCCACTCTATTTTGCTTACTTGGAGGGCAAAGTTAGATATGTCAAAATGCTTTGATCATATAGGCAAAACTTCAAACTCCTGGGTGGAATTTATGAATTTGTGCGCTCCCTAGTCAGGGAATACCTCGTCAGGTTGCGTCTAGAAGTTCTCACTGGTCTTAATATCCTCTATTTTCATGGTAGAGGGCCCAAAGGTCGAGGAGACTTTGCTAACTGACAGAACACACCTTATTTCATGTCGTATACGTAGAAGTGTAGTATATTCACTTGCATCGATCTAGTCAAAATCCGCTTGTGCGAGGCCCACTCCTAAACAGTAGTGAATCTTCATATCGAACCACATTACTTTCAGAGGTCTTACTTATCAAAGAAGCAAAACCTACAAGCCTCCCCTATATTACGCTTATTGTGGAAGCGTAACTCGAGAGGGGGCTATCCTTGGCCCAGAAGAGAGAGATCCTGTTATTGACAAAGCCGAATTCCCTAGACAAACCACTGAGCCATAAGCCCAAAGGTCGGAGAGACTTTGCTAACTGATGCAGTGTCGCTTATTTCACATTTTATTGTCATCTCCCTCAGTCTGAACTCTCAACACGCAGCCCCACTGATATATAAAAGAAACTTACCTACAAAAGTGCAAAATCTTCACGGAAAGTCTGTCATTGGCTGGGAAGCAAAACTCCTCACTGCGGTGCGAACGGCTGAAATTATCGGTCCCAACCAGATCAGCTTTCACCTCGATGTTGTCATTATCAGAGCTGGGATCCCTAATCAAAAAGACTTGATTTCAAAAGGCCAGGGAGACTTTGTCAACGAATATGATGTTACTTAGGTTGGATCATACAGTAGAGTTTCAATCCATCTTTATCTTTATCTTCATGTGAATGATAACCATTATCCGCAGTTGATACTTCAAGTAAATCTAATTGGAATTGAGAATCACCATTTCGGCTCTCAATTCATACACTATGTAGCAACGAGCTCGCGGTGGGGTATCATTGTAGGCTGTATTCAGAGCAAACTAATTACTCCTCGAGTTACTACGATATGTTCTCAAAGATTTTGCGCCCCAAATGTCTCTATGTCATAAGTTTATACCTTACTAGAAGCCCAATTTCGAGACATCAGCGCTAGTAGGCTTTCCTTGTATCATCTCCGCCATTACTTTCCCAGTACCCAAGCTCATGCTGATACCCCAAGGTCCATGCCCTGCCGCGAGCCAGATTCCTCCATCTCTATCATTCCTGGTACTCATTCCACCCAGATTATCATCAGCCACCTTCGCCAAAATCGGCGTTCCCCTTTTCGTAACCGGTCGGAAGCATAAACCTTTTCTAACAACTTCCATTTCAAAGCTTTCGTCAAAACCAAACATTCTTCTCGCCGTGTTCTCTAATCTCTGTATAGCATCTTCTTGAAACTTGGATTCTGTTGCAAGTTTTGGTAATGGTTCAGTAGAGGAGTTTAGACCTGCGATATAGATCTCACCACCCTTCCTCGAAAACACTTCAGGACAATAGCCCTCCTCATCACTAGCAAATACAGCTTGGCATTCTTTCTCTTCCATCTTCTCGTTCCAATTTGGTGTCCTCACTACCAAAGAATGACCAGCCAAACTAGTGATGGGTAATTTCAATGTTGATTCTGGGAACAAGGTAGAGAATACCTTAGGTGACCAACATCCTGCTGCTATCAGAATTTTTGTACACGGAATATCTGATTCAATATTGGTAGAGGTATTCAAGATACGTATACTAGATATCTCGGATCTCATGTCTTGGTGAACGGATAATGCCTTCGCAGGGTGATGAAGTTGTACGCCGCGCTCAAGACAGCTGGCAAGGAGGAACTGACACAACTTGAGGGGGTCACTTGATATGTTAGTGTGATTCCGTCAGTGGATGATGTTTTGGATGAACCCACACTTGAGCTGTACTTCCCTCTTTACTAATAGATTCCATTTCATCACCCTCAATCTTTTTGAACCACTTAGGCCACTCTCCAGTAATCCTTGCCGCTTCCTTTACACCTAACCCATCGTTACCACTAGCAGTCTCAGCTCTACTCCCGCCCACTCTCAACCAATCGTCTCCTCTAACACCCTTCTTCCCGCTCTTTCTCGCGTTTTCCGCAGCAATATGACTCATATAATTCATACTCCTACTCACACTATATCCCCATTTCTCAGCACCAGAATTTTCCTCGGCAAGTTTTTTATGTTCCTCGAAACTCAAGAACCCCAAGCTAGATGATTCATCACAAAACCAATCTCGAGAAAGAAATCCAGCTGCGTAACCTGAAGCGGATGAGAAAAGTGTGGGAGATGGGTCTACGAGCTGAATGGTGGAGGGGTCTTGGGAGAGAGAGAGATAGTATGCGGTTGAAAGACCGATGATACCGGTGCCGAGGATTACGGTATTGGACATTTTGAGTATTTTGGAAGTAGAATTCTGATAAATCAATATACACGTAAGATTTGAACTTAGCAAATCATACAGAACAGACAGACGTTAAGTAGGTGCTTCAATGCTGCATATCGACGACGCCCTTCCCCGCAATCGGCATGACGTAATGGTTCAATGATAGTGAAGCATTCTTCTAGATATATGTGAATTGAGTGTTGGCAACGGTGGAACAGATATGCTAGTTGATAAGCATACGTAAAGTAGTCCTAGGTAACCACGAATAGTTGAATTGAACTTTTTCTTATCTCAAACTCCCCATATGCATGAGTGAGTGAGCAGTGTTGAAGCTCCAAATTAAGTAAACAGAAGATCTCAATTGCCCCACCAAAAGACATCACGCTTTTCTCACCACTCTCACACCCGTTCAATCACCACACCATACCATTTTAAGAACGAACTCATAAAACCATCGATACACGAAAAAACAGAATGGCACCCAGAACAATTCTTCTCACAGGCGCAAGTCGGGGAATTGGCCTTGCAATTGCCCAAAAACTTCTGAGGGAAAAACACAATGTGGTACTTGTAGCTAGGACTGCAGGACCCATGGAGGAATTGAAGAAGCAGTATCCGGAACAGGTGGAAGTTGTTGTGGGGGACTTGAGTGATTTCAAGGTGAGTATTGAGTATGTTTGCTGTTGGAAATTTCCCGAATTTGGATGATTGTAGATTGACTATTGAACTCTAGTGAGAATATGGTTGGAAATGCAGATGCAGGTAGTCAGTAGTCTGCTTTGGCTACTTCTGGAAATGTTTCAACTGCATCATTCTTGATTGAGAATGCGCCATAAATAAATCGTGCCTACCTGTTCCATTATTTTGCTTTCTTCCTATAATACCATTTTTAAGACTCAAGAGCCTACAGCTAACCAAGTCCTCCATTGCCAGGTAGGACCACAAGCCGTCGAAACCACCATCAAACGCTTCTCCAAACTAGACAGTCTAATCGTCAACCACGGAACCTTGTCCCCAGTAAAACGTATAGCCGACAGCACCCCCGAAGAATGGCGGGGTCTATTTGACATCAATTTCTTCAGCGCGCTAGCATTCGTTCGTCTCCCTCTCCTTTTTCTCTCCTCCCCGTACTCCAAGATCTAACCATGCCCCAGATAACCCCTTCAATTCCTTATCTGCGCACCACCCGCGGCACCATCTTGCT